CTATTCTGCTGGATGTGGGAAGTGTCAGAGTAATTATTGAGTGAAGCAGGCTGGAAAATTTTACCCTCAAAGTCTCATACGCAGCATTTCCAGGTGTGCTAATGTGCAGCCTGGGTTTTACTCTGATTTATCAGACACAGCATATCAGTGACTTGCATAATAAAAGCTTTTGGGTTTGTTTGTTAAAGAAAATGAGATGCTATTTAAGGAACTTCTGTAATGAAGGTAATTCCTTTTAATAAAATAATACACATGAAGAGATTTCAAAATTTGTGGAAAAGAGGAATTAAAAGGTAAATTTAGGCATGCGTGTTTTGTATTTGGGACTCCTGCATCCCAGACTGGGGTCCTGGGTTCAAGTCCTGGCTCTGCTCCTGACTCCAGCTTCCTTCCAATCAGTGCCCACCCTGGAAGGCAGCAGGTGATGATTGAAGTAGTTGGGTTCCTGCCACCCACAATGGAAGATCAGGTTGAGTTCGCTGCTTGTGGCTTTGGCCTGGCCCAACCCTGCCTTTTGTGGGCATTTGGGGAGTGCACCAGTGGATGGGAGATGTTTCTCTGCCTCTTTCTCACTCTGTCTTTCAAATAAATTTAAAGTAAAAAAGACAAGTTTATTTTGTTGCAAAAGAATTTTCAAAAATTTGTTTATACCACAACAAACTGACCTTTTAATTCCATTTTTCAAAAACGTTTTGAAGTACCTGCATATGGACAGAGCACAAGAGGACACAGAACTGTAACGGAGTCTTTCTGTAGGTGCAGGACTTTCAAATGAGTCTTTAAAAAGTCATCTGTGATATTGTAGTAAAGTTGCTTAGTAGCAAAACAGTGGAAAAGAAAACAAGAAGGAAGTGGTTTGGGAAGCTGTTTTTCTTTGAAAATGATTATAACCTTAGATCACCTAATAGAGAATTATCCAGTCCGTAAATATTCTTGGTCATCTTTGTGAACAGATTTGCTTTGGGGCCAGCACTGTGATGCAGCTGCCGCCTGTGATGCTGGAATCCCACAGGAGTGCTGGTTCGAGTCCCAGATGCTCCACTGTCATTCCAGCTCCCTGATACTGTACCTGGGAGGCAGCACTATCCTGCCACCCACATGAGAGCCGAGTGGAGTTCTGGGATCCTGGTTTGGGCCTGGTCTAGCCATGACTGTTGAGGCCATTTGGGAAGTGAACCAGTGGATGGAAGATTCTCTTTTTGTCTCTCTCTTTAACTGTGCCTTTCAACAAATAAATCTTTAAAAACAAACAGTAGCCAGCATTGTGGCATGGTGAATTAAGCCACTGCCTGGGAAGCTGACATCTGATATGGACACTGGTTCGTGTCCTGGCTACTCCACTTCTAATCCAGCTCCCCACTAATGGCCTGGGAAAGCAGTGGAAGAAGGCTCAAGTGTTTGGGCCCCTTCGCCACATGAGAATCCTGGAAGAAAATCCGGGCTCCTGCTTCAGCCTGGCCCAGCCCTGGATGTTACGGCCATTTTGGGAGTGAATCAGTGGATGGAAGATTTCTCTCTCTCTCTCTCTCTCTCTCTCCCTCCCTCCCTCCTCCTCCCTCTCCTCCCCTCTCTGACTCTGCCATTCAAGTAAATAAAAAATGAATTAAAAAAAAAACCAGATTTTCTTCAATGAGCACTTTTCTAGCTGAGAAAGTCTCAGGAGTCGTGAAAGTGTGGTGTAATGGGATAAGAAAAGTTTCTATTAGACTTGCCACTGTTAAGGGTTTTCCCCTGAAACAAGTGACATTTCTGGTAGGGGTGACCCCATAGCCTTCCATTAAGCAGTGCTGTGCTCCTTGCTAAAACAGTGTTTCACATTTGCTAGGAGGCCTTGGACAAAGCACAGCATCCCTGGGCCCTGGGTTAGCTTGGGGGAGTTTCTGGTAGACAGGCAGAGTTAGACAGTGAGAGAGAGAGAGACAGAGAGAAAGGTCTTCCTTCTGTTGGTCACTATGGCTGGCGTGCTGCGCCAATCCGAAGCCAGGAGCCAGGTGCGTCTTCCTGGTCTACCCATGCGGGTGCAGGGCCCAAGCACTTGGGCCATCCTCCACTGCACTCCCGGGCCAGAGCAGAGAGCTGGACTGGAAGAGGAGCAACCGGGACAGAATCCAGCGCCCCAACTGGGACTAGAACCTGGGGTACCAGTGCTGCAGGCGGAGGATTAGCCTAGTGAGCCGCGGCGCTGGCCGAGGGATATTGTCACACCTGCTTCTTGTGAGACTTTCCTGCATGATGGTGGTGAGGGCGCCTACAGGGCCAGGCAGGGGTGGAAACACCTTCTTCAACGTCCGTCCTTACTCATCTTGACAGATTCAGTGACTCATGGGGATTGGGCTGCGGTAGTGGTTTCCAGAGTGGGCTTCACAGAGCCGAGAGTCCCCACCCTGACCTCAGATCCGGCTGCTCCTGGGTGGGTTCTGGGCAGGTCTTCATTTGCAGAGCAGCAGTCAGTTTGGGTCTAATTGTGGCAGGTGTGGGCTCAGGTTTCAAGGATCCTGGGGTGACCAAAGCAGCATCAGTCTGCGGGCAGCTTAGAGTCCCCAGGAGACAGCCATGATGCAGGTAATCCTGGCATTTCTTTGGCTATGTTGGGCCTGGTGGGAGAAGAGAGAGAGGGTCTGAAGGCATGGGCCAGTGGACCCCTGTGTGTTTCAGAAACAAGTGATGAGTAGAGGACAGCTCTTTCCCAAGAGAAAAAGAAAAAGGAAGGAGAGGGGGGTCCATGTGGGATGGTGGGGACACCTCTTGTGTCCTGGAGCAGACCTGGGGACTTCAGTGTGCCCTGAAATGGCTATCGGAGAAGGAGAGGAGCTGGGCTATCATAAGACCCCAGAAGCTGCCCACAGGGGTGGGAGAGACTTGAGGGCATCACTTGGGCCAGGCTGGCTACCCTCACAAGCCCACCGTCCTACACATCCTGGCCCATCTCTCTTTCCCCCTCATCCCTGACCAGGTGAACCGACAGTCTAACCTGTGGGCGTTTGCATGTGCCACTCACTCTTTCTCATCTTGCAGTCTTCAGCGCCCATGGCACTCTCTTGGGAAGCCTTTCCTGGGTTACCAGTCACCGTCCACCCCTGCTGAGTTACGTGAACGTCCCTCTCTGGTATTGCCTCACAACTGTACTCACCCCCTCGGGTCGCAGTTCCTCAACTGGATTGCATGTCCTCCCGTAGCTGTGTTTGAGAGCTCCTGGGTGACTGCAATTCCTCCCTGGCCACAGTGTCTGGCACACAGCAGGTGCTCAGTGGCTGATTCTTGAATGAATAGGTGTCCTCAGTTTATGGGAGGCTGCAGAGGGGCCAAGCGACTCGTCCAAAGTCCGACTGCTGTGAGACTGAGATGGGATTGAAAACCATGGCGTTGAATCCACAGAGGAGGAGACAAGGTCTGGTTGCTGGAGCTCCCTTCCAGGATCCCTCTACTGCTATCTTGGAAAGGAAAAGAAGCCACCCTTGTTTCAAGGTGCCCACGCACTGTCCTGGTTGGCTGTGGATACAGGGATCAGCTTACTCCCACTGTTGTGAGAAACCAAACGAGAGTATTGTGAGTGTGTTTTCTATTTTGTAGGACTTTGCCCATGGCCCTAAAATTTTTCCCATGTGAACAAGTTGTCCCCATTTTCTGTTTGATAAACCTGGTCAAAGAATCAGGGAGAAAGAAAGAAAACATCCTTACAGTGATTGGAAGATATGGCAAGAGGGGTCAGGAAAGCTACAGTTGTGAGTCCAGGGGTGTGTGTGTGTGTGTGTGTATGTGTGGTATGTATGGTGGCTGTGATATGTGTAGTGTGTGCTGGTGCATGTTTGTGTGTGTATGGTATGTGAGCATCTGTGAGTACCTGGTAGGCATATGTGTGGTGTACATGTATGGTATGAATGATGGCTGTGGTATGTGTAGTATGTACTGGTGCTTATGTGTGTGGTGTGTGTGCTTGTGTGTACCTGGTATGCATGTATGTGGTGTGTGCACATGTCTGAAGACATGGCTTGTGAGTGTGTCAGATGGTCCTTAGTTTAAAACCCTGGTGTCCTTGGCTGCTGAGTGGGCCTGTGAGTTGGGTTTCAGTGGGAGCATTCCACACACTCATGCAACAGTGAGCAGCAGAGATGGTAGAAAGCGCTGGCGTGTCCTCTCCCGTGACCATCAGACCTGGCCCCCAGATCTTTCGTGAATAAAATGAGGCTGACTAAGTGGCTTCCAGCTGTTTCAACACCCAGTGAAAAGCAAAGAGAAAAACCATGAATGCAGCTAAGGATTGAAGCAGAATTAAAGGCCAGACAAAATGCATTCCGCGTCTCTGCCTTTAGTGATAAGAGTGTGGCTAGACACTGCAGAGTTGGCTCAGTTCTTCACGTAAATGCTGCTGCAAGCCTTAAACACTGTGTTTTTAACTGGTTGTATGAAAACTCTCTTTGATTTGTAAGCGTCTGTTGTTGTAAGAGATTTTTGGAGGGTGACAAGGCTGGTGTATTGTATGTGTTTGTTTTCCTTGTTCTGCAGAGCAGAAATCTACAGCAGGAAGTGATTTGGGGGCAGAATGCCTAAAACCAGCTAAAACTCGAGTTGATATTGTGCTAGGACCAAGAATTGCTGCTGCGCTTAGAGTTTCAGCATCCTTTGTGCTGGAGTTTGGAGCTTCAGGGGGCAGCCTGGCTCCATCTCTGTGCCCGGACAACACAGTCTGGGCAGACTGTCCCTCAGTCAAAGATGCTTGGCTTAGATCTTTGCTCTTGGCTTGCTGTGCAACCTTCAGCAAGTAACTTAACTCTCCTGCATTTCCACGTCTTTATTTATAATGCATCAGAGTATTTTGAGCGTTAACTGAGAAAAAAATGAGCCCATTCTAGACATCATAATGATCTGTTCAAATACTATTTGGAGTTGTCATTCTTGGCCCAAATCTCTGGTGTGGGAAAAGTGGCCAGACTTTGCTGGGGTCTTTCTGTATGCTGAAGACTGTGGTAAATTGCTTAATCCTTGCTGTACCTTTTTTACAGGAAAAGAAACTGAGGCGTGGAGTTTGAATAACACGTTCAAGGTAACCGAGTTGGTAAGTAGCAGAGCTGGGATTTGACCATGGCCATCTCGCTCCAGAGCCTGCGTTCTTAACCTTTTCAGAATGAGGCAAAATCAGAGTGGATGGTGATGGCCAGGGGCTGGATTTCAGTTGAGTAGGAGCAAGCACCTCTGCCTCTGTTGAAATCTTAATGCATTTGCATTCTTTCATCCACCCCAGGTCCAGTGGTTAATCTAAATAAGAACCATCATTTTGGAGGGGAAAACACACTTCAGTCTCCTGTCATCAGTAATAATATCTAATATTTATTGAATCCTTATTGTATACGGACCCTGCCCTAAGAGTGTTACCTGGATTCACTTAAATATCACGACACCCCTACAACGTTGAGGTTCAAAGAAGAGAAGTGACTTGCTCAAGCTGTTTTCGGTTCATAACGGACACAGTCAGTGTTCACATCCAGGCAGTCTGGCTTGCAAGCCGGTGCTCTTCACACCGGTTGTCATGTCAGTCCTGAAGAGCCCCTCATGGAGAACCATCAGCTCTGTGAGTCTGGGTCCCCTCGGCCACCAACAGTGCTTTTCCCTGTCCTGCTGCTTCTCTTTGTAGACTTGCTGGTCACTTTACGACTTTCCATTTGGCTGGCCATCCTCTTGCAAGGCTTACCCACACAGTGAGACCTTTGGCAGGATGCCACTTAGCCTCTTTCCTCAGGCATGCTTTTAACTTTTATTTTAATCCAGCCATGCATGCCGTAAAATGTGCAGATCTCAGTGGCACAGCTTGATGAGTGTTCAGGAGGTTCCACTCATCGAGCCATCCCCCAAGTCTGGATATTCAGTTTTTCCATTCTTCTAGGAAGTCCCCGCCTGCCCCTTTGCAGTTGGGGTTGTCCCAGAGGTAACCACGATTCTGTCTGCTGTCATCACAGATTCACGCTTCTAACTTATCCAGATCCAAACACACTTGCTCAACAAAAACAAGAGAGATAAAAACAACAGTGAATCGTGTGGGTGATCCTGTTGCTCTGCCCAACGGGCGTCTCTCTTCGAGTGAGCGTGAATGGGAGACATGGATGTGCTGTTTCCTTGCTTGGTCTTTGCTCTCATGGCTTTGTATTGTATCAGGAGTGTCTTTCTCATACTTATAGGTCCTAATTATCACACCACATGGCTCCTAAACCCAAGCCAGCTTTTACATAAGATGCTCAACCTAGGAAACCAAATGTAGAGCTGAAGGAAACTCTGGCTGTGTTGGACTTCATGAGAGATGGTTTGTCAGTCTCTACTGTGAGATCTTTGTGGGATTTGTGAGGGGAATTTTGACTCTCTTCAATTTTCATATTACATGCTGACTTTAGAAGTTAACCTTTGAGTAAGATGTGATTGAAAAATTTTAACAATTCGTTTCAGAGACAGAATGAGACAGATGAGAAAGAGAAAGTGAGCTCCCAACTAATGGTTTACTCCCCAAATCCCTGCAGTGGCCAGGGTTAGGCCAGGCTGAAGCTGGGAGCTAGGAACCCAATCCCAGCTGGTAAGAGCTCAACTACTTGCATCATTACCTGAAGCCTCTCAGGATATGCATTAGCAGAAAGCTGGAGTCAGACACTGGAACCGGGTACTGCACACAGGCACCTTGTATGGAATGTGGGTGTTTAACCTCTGTTTTCACCATTCGGCAAAACCCCTTCCCCCACAGTGTAATTTTCATGTGGACGTAACTCAGCTTGGGTGAGTGGTTAGATCTGGTGACATATGCAGTGTCAGGCAGAGTGGTAGAGCTAAGCTGATTTGCATGGGTCTTTTCTGATAGGAATGCAGAGTTTGACTAAAATGTAAACTTGTATCTAGGGGAACTCTTAAGAAGGGAACATTCACACATATCAAGGAGAGAGAAGCTCAACCCAAAGAGTTGCACAGAAGCTAAAGTTGTGACACTCATGGGGCCTTGGCAGCCTGGTATACGCCCTGGAGTCTGGGGCCTGAGATTTTAATGGTGCAGTGGGTCTAGAAAGGAGGCCTGGACTCAAGGTAGAACTGCAACCTATGAGAGGCTGGCATCTTCATGAAAAGGGGCAGAAAAAACTCCACTGCCTAGAGAGATATGAGGAGGCGGAGTTGAGTGGAGAAAGTCACGAGCAATAAATTGAACACCTGGGACTTTACTGCATAATTGTAGAATCTGTATTTTTATTTACCTATGATAGATGAGGTCCTTCAGCCTAACACATGAGCAGCAAACTGGTCTGGTATTATGGAAACCCCATCACAAACACAAACTTACTCCATAGGTGTGTTTCTTTCTTTCTTTTTTTCTTTCTTTTTTTTTTTTTTAAGTTTATTTGTTTACTTGAAACTCAGAGTTACACAGAGAGAGAAGGAGAGGCAGAGAGAGAGAGAGGTCTTCCATCCACTGGTTCACTCCCCAATTGGCTGCAATGGCTGGAGCTGTGCCATTCTGAAGCCGGGAGCCGGGAGCCTGGAGCTTCTTCCGGGTCTCCCATATGGGTGCAGGGGCCCAAGGACTTGGGCCATCTTCTACTGCTTTCCCAGGCCATAGCAGAGAGCTGGATGGGAAGTGGAGCAGCCGGGTCTTGAACTGGCACCAATATGGGATACTGGCACTTCAGACCAGGTGTTAACCCGCTGTGCCACAGTGCCGGCCCGCATAAGTGTATTTCAATTGATACCTACCAGGATTCCCACAGAAATATTCAGGAAACCATCTAAAAAAGACTGTAAAATAGTGTATTTAAAATGAGAATTAAAGACAATATTAATATGTAAAGAAAAATGAAAAAAGAGGATTTGACAAGCAGCCAAGTTAATAGTTATTAAAACTAAAATGCAACAGAAAGGTTTAAATGACAGATTAGACATAGCTAAAGAGAGAATTAGTAAAGTGGAAGCCAATAATAACATTTTTTAAAAAGATTATTTTGTTTGAAAGAGTTAACACAGAGAGAGAAGGAGATACATAGAGAAAGACACGTCTTCCACCGCTGTTTACTCCCCAGTTGGCCACAACAGCTGGAGTTGTGCTGATCCGAAGCCAGGAGCCAGGAGCTTCCTCTGGATCTTCCACCTGGCTGCAGGAGCCCAAAGACTTGGGCCATCCTCTACTGCCTTCCCAGACCATAGCAGAGAGCTGGATCGGAAGTGGAGCAGCTGGGACCTGAACTGGCGCCCATATGGGATGCTGGCACTGGAGGTGGCAGCTTTACCCACTATACCACAGTGCTGACCCCCAATAATAACACTTGATAAGTGAATAGTATGTTCCAGACACTGTTCTGTAGACTTTACTTACATTAACTCATTTAATCAAAATTATGAGGAGACTTTGTTATTATCTTTTTTTATAGATGAGGAAACGAAGGCATAGTGGTTTAAGCCACTTGCTTAATGTCACATGGTTGGGAAATGATGGCACTGGTATTTGACCCCAGCTTGACCTTTGTGACCTTGAGTCTGGGCCTGCAGTCACTACGCTATAGGAAATCATCAAGAATAAGCACTGAGTGATAAAGAGATGGAAATATGAAATAATAGTGAAGAGGCATAGAGTATATTCCTTATGTCTACAAAGAGGTACTAAGGAATAGGCAGAATGCTTGGATTAGAAGTCCTTTCAGCTCTCCCATTGACCTTAGGGTCTAAGAATTTGTAACTAGGTCAGCATCCTGGGTGAAATAGTCACTTTCCACTGTGGGAAGCATTGGTGTGCTGACTGAGAAATGTTTACAGTGGTCTCCCTGGTGAAAGCGAAGGAAGCCAGACTATGCTTGTGGACTCCTGTGGCGTCAATACTTGCACCATGACTAATTTTGAGCTGTCATCATGATGTCACTGAGCACGGAGTTGGGAACGGATTAGCACAGTCAGGTCCCGTGAGCCAGTGTGAGCCGGCTGCGGTACAGCCCGGGTCAGACATCCATTCTGTTTTCACCTCTGACCTGGGTTGTGCATCCAGGGGTGGAATGTTCAGGAAGTAGTTGTGTCATGGGTGATCTCACAGAGGCAGGAAGAGACAAAGGGACAAGAAGAGAGCTCTGTCCCCCTCTCTTCCCTTGTATTTAAATGCACAGCACAACAACCTTTTGTGAATGTGGGCAGGCAAGCTGGCTTACTCATGACATGCTTGCTGAGAGTGGAATTTAGTATGACTTCTTTGAAGGGCAATTCAGGGCACTGTCTACCAACATTTTAAGTGCACGTGCCTTGTGATCCTGCATTTCCACTTCAAGAATTTTTTCGCACAGGTCCTGTTTTTTCCTATACTTACACATGTGTTTAAAAATGCACATGATGTAGACTCATGGTGATTTTGATTGCAGTAACAAAACGCTGTAAGCAGCTTACATGTATGTCAGTAGGGAATTGATTGAATGTATGAGTATATATTTGCAGTAGAAAGCTGTGCTTTAAAATGGTGGGTCATGGAAGAGTACTAAGAAGGAAATAAAGTACTAGGAAGAAAAGGTTTCCAGGATACATACTTGAGTTTTAAAAAAAAAAAGCAATATGTAGAAAAGTTCGTGGGGGATGCTGTCCTGTGTGGAAAAGAAAGAAGGGGCTATTATGTGCTTATGTGCATGCTTGATTCTGCCTAGATTATTGCTGGAAGAACACCAAAAAAGGGGGAAAAAGAAGAAAAAAAGGTTGGGAGAATGTTGTAAACCTTTTAGGAAAAGCCTACGGGAATTTGGGTCTGGGGTGGATGAAGGATACTCCACTGTGTGTCCTTTGCCTTTTTTTTTTTTTTTTTTAAGTTTTAAATATAAGCATGTAATCCTTTTAACATTAAACACAACTCAGGTAAGAAAACCTTTGCTTGGAGAGTCTTTGACATGAACTCACCTTACATTTTTAGAGGAAGTTAGCAGGTCTGTGTGGTGGGATTGCTCGCCCCCAAAGGGAACTCAACATGAACTTAGCACTTTCCTGTGTTACCTGGCTTGGTTCTCGCATATCCACGACACTGTAGGTTGCTGCCCAGGAAATGGGTGACAAATGCAAATCTCGGTCTCA